AAGTAGCTATGTACTTCCAACTTACAGTTCCATATGAGAAATCCTCAATGGCTGGGTAACGCATTGGGACATTTAATCAATGTGTGGGGCTATGTTATAGTTCTGGTTTCATCCCTTAATATTTATTCAGTTTTAGTTCTTGAACAATTTGTGTGCATGTGGAAAACAATTCAGTTTGTGATTGAAGATGACTCCTCCATGGCAAAAATGGCTCAGAATATATAACATCTTTCCCATTTATAGTGAAACTCATCAGCTAAAATACTGTCTTCCCAAGTGACATTTCTAATGAGTTTCGTGTTGCCTGCAGAAAAAGTCTGATCCGCATTCCAAACAGCATCCAGAATTTTCATTTCTCTTTAGCCTTTGTCAGCCAGTAAAAATGTTTCTGCCATTAAATTTAGGAGCAGCCAATGCCCAGATGGCCAGCCGTTAATATCACTGACAGCCTGCTTGCTCCATTTGCATGGTTCCTCACTACACCAGTGCTCCCACTGAGGTCAATTTGCCTGGGGCAAGCAGAGCACAAACTCAGCTGCACTTGGCCTTCAGTGTGAGTCTGAATCTCTGTACGAAAACTGAGTAAAGGACTGTTCTGGTTTCCTGCTCAAACAAAACTTTTATGTAGGGTAGAAAGGGATAAAGTTCATGCAGTACACATTAAAAATATGCTGGGGAAAGCAGTCTGGATTATTCCTGCCTTAGACAGAAGCAAACCCATCCTTGGGATTGCTTTTGCACAAGGACCTGGCTGCATTTGGTGGGTAATTAGGGAAGTTGAGGAAGTCTGGTGTGTGGCTCAGTGGGATTTAACTCTGGGTGAGAGTTGGCTTCCACAGTGGCTGTACATCCATCATCACGCTGGACCCCTTGCAGTGCCCGTCTCTGCTATTCCATATTTGGGATATGACCCCAACTCCCCTCTAATCACCACACTAATGGGTAATGAGCTTGGATGAAACTGGATAAGTGTTGCAGTGATGGAATTAGACTTCAACATGCAACAATCCAACAGCACACACCATCTTTCCTGCCCTGGAAGGTTGTTATGACAGATGAAACCCAAGGTCATGGGCTAAATGAATTCAAAGGACTTTTATAGGGATGGTCCATAGATTAAGGGAATTACAGCTGTGTGAAAATCCATTAAGAGATCGGAAAGCTAGTGGTGCATTGGGAAGTGTGGAGCCTGGCACGACATAAATGGCAGATAAGTTTTGGATACTGTCCTGGTTTTGTCTGGGACAGAGTTCATTTTCTTCCAGTTGTCTGGTACAGTGATGTGTTTTGGATTCAGTATGAGAGTAATGCTGATGTTTCAGTTGTTGCTAAGTTCTGTTCACCTTAAGTCAAGTTCAGTTTCCCAGGTTTTGCCAGTGAGCGGGTGCACAAGGTGGCAGGGAGCATGGCCAGGAGGGCTGACCTGAACTGGCCACAGGGATATTCCACACCATAGAATGTTCTGCACAGTTCGTAAATGGGGAAGAATTGGCCAGGAGGGACCAACCACCGCTGAGGATGGGATGGGTACCAGTCAGCATGTGAATGTGTTGTACATAATTTGTTGGGGTTTTTAATAGGTTTTATTTTTTTAATTACAATTATTATTGTTATAATTAGTAGTAGTATATTTTATTATCATTACTATGAATATTATTATATTGTAGTTTGTTTCAATGATTACACTGTTCTTATCTCAACCCATGAGGTTTCCGGGTTTTTTTCCCTTCCCTGACACCCCATCCCATGGAGCAGCAAGTGAGCCAGCAGCTCTGTGGCCCTTAGTTGCCAGCAGGGATTAAACCACAGCAAGGACAGAGTATAATTTTGCTTCTCTAGAAGCAAGAGAAGCAGCTAAGCTCAGGTACCAGTACACTCTGCAGTTTCTTTATTCCTATAGCCATGTATTGTCAGTAGCAAGTTCCCACTCTCTCTCCACCAGCTCACTTACAGGAGCTGCTCCACTGCAGAAATAAGCAGGACAACTGCTTTTTCATCTAAACTGCCATAGTCTTATCAACCCAACCAATTTCTCACATAAAAATCCTTTTAAAATACAGAAGGCAAGGCTCTTCAGCTATTTTTGTTTGATAATTACAGAATCACAGAATAGTTTGTCTTGGAAAGGACTTTTAAAGGTCATGTGGTCCACCCCCCCTGCAGTAAGCAAGGACTGCTTTGTCTTCCTTTTCAGAACTACTAATAAGAAGCAAAAATGCAATTTTTTCCATAGATCTTTGTCAACGGATAGGAATGCACAAGGCTTCAGGTACACACAAAAAAAATTCCTAAGTCGTGTTATGAATATACCTCCATTTTTGACATTTGGGGATTTTTCCTGAAGACTCACACAACAGTGGTTAACCACTCCATCTGTAAGAGTTACAGCTGACATTTAATTCTTCTCCAGGTTTGCAAACAAGAGAGAAAAACCTTGACTTTCATCCTCTTCATTACTGAGCTCTTAGGTACTTAAAGCAACTTGTAAAAAGGATGCTTCAAGATTCTCTGGTAGTGCAAAAGTAGTGTTCTGTTTTCTCAGAGGTGTTTCTTTCCCAGTAATACCCATATGTCTCCCTGTGTCGGATACCAAGACATGGAAACTCAGTAAGGAGTCACAGAGTGTATAACAGCTGGAAAGCACAGCACAATTTCAAAGCCCATAATTACATCAGAAATCCTGAGATACCTTTACTCTCTTTTTTTCCATAGGATGTACCTATCCACTGCTATCCAGTACCATGTGAAAAATATGTGAGCTTGCTCCAAGAGATCCCACTTGTACAACTGAAATAATTTGACACTGGCATTTTTTCTTAGGAGTTGTGTGAGTGTGTTTTTAAAGGGTATTTCTGTTTTTTAAAAAAGACTTTATAAAGATGAGGCTCAATTTTCATTGGGCAGTTTGTATAAATTCTTCAGTTCTTAGGTTGTGTGTGGAGCATGATGAAAATCATTTGTCTGATTGGACTATTGCTTCTTCTGTGCTACCTTACCAGGAGAGCATCCAGCATCACATTATTTAAAGGCTCCCTGGAACAGAAGTTGCATACCCAGTTCATCTATTTCCTCCTAAAACCTTGGGTGAATGCCACTTGTTGGGTTCCAAAATATGATGTCTGCAGAAAGAAATTTGAGTGGTCTTTACAGAAAGCCATGGGGTACAGAAGCTGGAAAACCCCTCTTCACTGACCTCATCTCTGTGGACTCTTCCTGCCTTCTTCAGCAGGATGTAAAGAGATTCCTTGGTGATGTTATCACCTGCCTTGCCTGAGCCAGACAATCCACATCCTGATCTCAGCAGACCTCTGCATAAAACCCATTGAGTTCCCCCCTTTGCACGTGTATTCTCCGTATCCCTTGCATCCTGCAGACCAAACACCTAATCCCCCCTGTAAAATCCCCTAAGATAAAATGGGGTTTTCCCATGAGGTAATTCCTAAGACCCCAAGATTGTCAACCTTGGTTTTTCCTTTACCTTATCATTGCAAAACCCTCCAATTGTAATAAAATGAATATGTAAACACCCTGTTGAATATGTAAACCATAAAGCCTTTAAATATGAAGTCGTAGGTCCAATAAACTATTCCAGTTTTCTTCCTACCCTGGGATTGTCTTAGCTTTATTGACCTCCGCAGCCACTCTCACTTGTACTTTATCTCGTGTGTCAGCATTTCACAGACATTTTCCTTTTGCCAGCATAATCTCCTGTGTGAGCCCAGTCCTGCCAAAATTCAGCATTGTTTAGCCTTCTAAGGCATTTTCTTGTGTCATGTATTCTTTTCTGATATCTTTTTAAAGGGGATTCACTTGGAATTTAGACCACTTTGCAGCTTATACCCTTGCTGGGTAGCGTGTTCTTAAGCTTAGATGCACAGGAACAAATTGCTAAACAGCCCCTTGGTACAGAAGAATTTTATTTCCATCCATGCTCATGCCCTTATCGGGGTGTTTTCTCAGAAAGATAGATTGGATAGCACAGCTGACACCTGGGGCATCTGGTGCTGAAGAAAAGGGTGAGAGAGGTGTGTGATCTGTCCCAAGGCTTTGCCAAGTCATTAGCTCAACCCTATGCCTTGGGACAATAGGGTGGACTTTGGTTTATTGTGGGTTTCTTGTCAGTATGGCACATTTTAGGGAACATTTCAACAAGAAGTATCTTTGAAGGCATCCATTATCTGTTACATGTGCACACCACACACACACATCAGAAAAAGCAAGCTGTTGGAGAGATCAGCAGCCTGCTCCTCAATATCACAGCCACATGGGATTCAATCAGCAGGTGTGACTGGGGGCTAAAAAGGACATGCCAGGTTCGAGGAGGTATTTCTTTCTGATAGAAGGCAGGGAGGGAGCTCTCCATGTGGTCTGGATCCTCACAGGGACTCACATCTCTTTTAGAGTGGCAACTCTCAGGCACCTCCCTGACAAGCTGTATCATCTGCTGTGCACTTTCAGACAGTGCCCAAAGGCAGGAGCAAGCCTACAGACTGTCAGAAACACAGCTGACTCCTGCCCAACTCCATTTTGGTTGTACTAGAAATCCTTATTAAAACCAGTAATTTGAGTAAGGTCACCCCATCTGATTTGAGGAAGCATTCACAAAATCAGTTTTTAAAACAGCAAACAGAAGGGTTAAGCCCATGACACCTCTGCATTTCTCAGCGGAGATGAGGTAGTTTGCCAATTTTTCAGCCTTGGTAAACTTGACAGAATTGTTTAGCTGGACAAATTGGGTGAATTATTTCTTACATAGATGCTGTTGTGGCCTTTCCCTTAGTTTGCTTGTTGAGTCTTTTCTTGACTTTTTTTTTCCACCATCCTTATATTTTAACTTTGATAAGCACCTGTAATTTCTTACTCTTCCCCCCTTCCCCTTTTACTTCCATCTCTAAATCAGAGGGAGCAAGAGGGAACGAACAATAAGAAGTCTGTGATCCTGACAGAGTGATGCAGTGTTGGGGTGCCCTCCTAACCTTGTGAAAATTGAAGCCTTTCCCTGAAAGTTAAACAATCTTTATTCATTTTTATTGAGCATTTACAACGAGTGGCCTTTTGAAGCCAACAAAAGCAATGCAAGGGTTGCACACAGCCGTTAATAATTTTGTATTTGCCACAGAACTGGGGAGGGAGGAAATAAAACCAAGGGCACCACCATGCCAGCAAAGCAATATTGATATTTTTTCAAAACTGTATTTGTTCTGTGAGAAGGTGTTTGTCTGATCTCACTACTGAAATGATACTGATGTTGGTAACTATTTTGACACTGGCTTCAAACAGATTTTTTCTCTTTTTTCTCTTCCCACCTCCCAAAATCTTCACAATCGCTCAAATTGTCATCCTGAAATAAAGAAGCAAATACATACAGGGAAAGTTGCATTAAATCCAATCTGATCCTACAAAAGTCCATGGAATGGTGTCCTGTTTTCATGGGGGATGTCCTGAGCAGGGCCATGATAGAGGATGTCCTATTGCAACAAAAACTAGGGAAATGAGTAGCTGCCTGGCTGCTGACAAGAAGTCAGGAAAAAACTGATGCACTCACAGCAGTGACATACAAACACAAGCACACACCATCTCAGGAACCAGTTTCATGCTCTGCTTAGGGTGTGCCAGCTCAGTGAAGCTGGTCTGCAGTGGGGTCGACTTTTCTTCTTCACCAAATCACTGTGGATACTAGGATAACACCTTTCTGGCATAAATCTGGTACTTCTTTGGCAGGCCCCTGGTCAGATATCTCTGTACTTTCAGGTCTCAAGTAGCCAGACAGCTCTTTCCTGTACAGTTGGCTCCACAACAATTTGCATCCAAGACTCCAGAGGGAGACACTAAATCCAACCAACCTCTGGATTCTCAGATAATCATCTGCCTAAACCCAGAATCTTCTAAAGGCTCTCTCTGTCACCTGATGATGCTGCAAACAGTGCTGGGACCATCCCATTTACTGGAGTTGTTCCCATCACCATCATAATAACTATGAATAAAAAACATAGAAGATAAGAAAACTGAGTGGAATAAACTTAAAAATGAAAGCAGCTACAGGCAGTGGCAGAAACTTCAGGCAGAGGATCAAGGTACTTAGTAATCAACTGAGCCATTACAGTGTTTCTCTACTAGTTGTAGCTCTGCCCAGGATTAATGTATCTCCAAGATGAGAATAACAGGGAGTGTTATAAAAGGACTGGCAACGAGGAAAACATGACTAAGTGTCAAACTCAAAATGGCAGGAACAAAATATGTGGCAAATGGGGATCTTATTAAGGTTTCACAGCTTCTTGTTTAGAAAGATATACACTGCCATCTCAGACAGGGAGCGATAAAAACAATCAATTGGGTCGCTCACACTGACAAAGAGAATGGTGCTGTCACGTGCAGCTGGACATTTCCTTCCTCATCCTGGCAATGGATAAGGGTCTTACAATGAGAGTATATTTGTGCCTACTTTTGGCACCTTTAATCAGTCCCAGTGGTAGAAAGAAGCTGTGACTGAATATTAGTGACTTTTTTCCTTTTTTAATTTCATTTATAGGTACTTGGAATATCTTAAAATCTTCCTGTGGTAGCAGGTTTTTGAGAGGAGACTATCAAAGCCAGAGGGTTTGGTGGGCTCTGTGCCCCTGCCTGGCAATGTTACAAGGTCTCCTGCTGCTCTTCTATTCAAATGGGACCACAAGTACAAAGAGGTTTGTTGTATGTTTTTCTCACTCACTCCTTGAGCATCCCCTGACAGCGTCAGTCTGTCTGGATTTATATTGCCAACAGAAGCAAGTGGGAATTTTGTTCAGGGAGGAAGAGCTGTCTCAACCTCTCTTGTGGGGCAGCAAATTAGCATGGTGCCCTCATGGTGAAAACCCATTTGACCTCCAAGCCATTGTTTGAATTTGACACGAGGCCTGCCCACAGGAGGATATTTACAGGCATGAAGCATTGTGTTAAGGGTATGAAATTTGGCAGAAAATAAATCTCCTTGCTGGGGCATTTATAATAAATTCCAGCTGGTCCTCAGAGCAGAGGGGCTGGGCTTCATTTCTGATTAGAAGCAAAACTGCACCATCAGCCTGGTCATGTTCGGTGGGAATTTTCACAATCACAGATTCATAAATAGTGCAGTTTATTGAAGGAACAGATTCAAAATTGCCATGGAAAAATGCACCAGCTATGATAAAGATCTAATAAAAACAATAATCTTGTGTTAACCTGGGTAATAGTAATGGTATGCAGAAGCTTACCAAGAAGGTGTCCTCACTTGGGAGAAGGGAGAGGAGAGTAGCCAGTCATCTGTTTCCAAGGTCTTTTTGGGTCTCCCTCCTAAACAGATGAAATTTTTACCCTCCTGATATGCAGCCCAATATTATTCTTCTTCTTACATATAGCAGGACCAAGGTGGAGAGTTGAGTCATATAGTCATACACATCATAGCACTACTTCATTAAGCTTATTAGCATATACAGACATGTGAATTTTAAATTAGCCTTAATCAAGAAAAAGTTACTTTTCGGCTATGGTGTCCTTCAAAATTTTAGTCATACACCTTTGTTTCATTCTTCACATCCTATCTCCACAGGACCTCCTCCTTCAGCCAGCAAAGCCTTTCTTGATGTCAGCTATGTAGATCCTTATCTGCAAAGATAACATAGAATGTACACAATGTGTGCTGCAGATAAGAGGCCTTAGGCCTTGCCTGACTCCTTCAGGGATCATCATCCCACAGGAAGTCTGGAACAGCCAGTGCAGTCTTGATCCACTAAAGTGACATGAAGTTTTTCAAACATGATACTCTATTTAACATTCTTAATGCAGTTTTAGATATCTGAAAGTATTTGCAAATTTATTCTGGCTGGTGAAAGAGTATGAAGGACAGAAAGTAGGATGACTATTTTTTTTCCTGGAAATGGCAGTGAAAATGAAAAACACAGTATTTTGAAATGCTTGAAATTGCATTTCTATAAATTGGGGGTTCTAAATAGAAACAAAATAGTTCATTCCTAGTGAATGAAAGAATTAATTTTACCCAAACTGTTTGTTTTTCCCTAATTCTCATTGTCTAATTATAGTTGTGAAGGGGGGAAAAAATCCTTCCAGGCTGACCCAAAATAAATCTCTCACCCACTCTAAAGCTAAAGAAACAGTATGAGGTATCCCCCATCTCAGATAGTGACTTGGGCATTTTGGAAAATGTGAGCAGCTACAGGAGGGGCAGATGAACATGAGTTTAAGGAATATGACTATCACACTGGCAAGCCCTTGGAGCTTTTCCCTCAGAGCGATGGGAGCAGAGTGACACAGAGATGAATGGGAGGACTGTGATAACCTACTTCCAAATTAGCCAAGTTGCTCAGAGGGAACAAGCTTTGCAGAAGGTCGCTGTGATATACACAGGACGAATGTTCTGCAGCCCAGAAAGCAAAGAAACCAACCCTGCTTCAAAGAAATGACAATGAGCCAAGCAAGCAGAAAGAGCAGCAAGAGAAATACAAACAGTGATTTTAATCACATTTCCCTACTGCATTTTTCGTTGCTGGAGGGTTTTCACCAGCTTCAACTGTAATGCTCAGACACTGATCAAAGATGGATATATTCTGTGGCCAGCATTCCCCAGCAATCAATGCCACCAGCACTACTCTCCTCATTTTTACACAAAGTGACAACCATCTCAGAGTAAGTCCATCCACTTGCCTGGAACAGCTAACACAGGAGAAGAGCAGAATGGACATTCCTATGGCAGCAACCACCACGAGAAAGGGAAAAAGGGGGAGAGTTGAAGGCAGCCAGTCTTCATGTGGATGTGCAAAAGGTCAATAGATCTGTCAAAAAGCTTATTGTGCCGGCAGCCTTGAAAGAGAGACTGCAGAATTCCTAAAAAGCAGGGTGCAACCGACACATAGCAGTCTCCAATCACTTTATTAGGCTAAAACTAATGGTGCTCTTTTCCACATATTTATGCAAATAAAGCAGAAAAATTAATGGCACAACTTAAATAAATACATTTTGATGGGGTTTATATCCTTTTTCAGAGTACTTTCTGGAAATAATCCAACCTCTTACAGCACAGCACTTAAGGAGCAAAATATCTTCTTCTTCAAAAAAAAAACAAACCAAAACTGTGTTTAAACACTTTGTTATACTGGGGGTATTGCAGAGAATTTTATTAACAGGAATATTTAGACAAAGAGTAAATATAAATGCAAATGGAAAAGGAGATATATTCACAATTCATTATTATAAATAATCAAGCTGAAAAGAAAGCTTCAAGAGCTAGAGCCATTTGAGTCAAAATTATTGCATTGTCATGGGAGTTTGACCACTCCATACACTTCAGGTTTCTTACAGTGACCACTCGCTATGACTTGCTCAAAAATGAGCTCCAGAGCAGGGATTCTTTACAGTAGTAATCCCAAAAGTAGCACAATGACAAAAATGGTACAATGACCAAAAAAAGTACATCACAATCTGGTCATAGATTATCCACAAATGAGAAACAAATAAACAACCCCCCCCACACCAAAACAAAACAAAACACAGAAAAATCAAAAACAAACAAGCAAACAGAAGACAAAAGATGGAGATATTGAATGATTTCATTTTATTAACTGATTTCTTGTGTAATTTTTAGAGCTGTTTCCATAATAAGGTTGATTAAATTTTCTGAAACACTTACTGTTTTAAAATAATGCCTTCTGTTCCCCAAAGCCAGAGAAAGATCTGCTCCTACAATGAAGCTTCAAATGAATGACAGCTTAGGGCTGTTTGTTAAGACACGGAAGAGTAACCATTTCTTATCATAATAATTCCCACATGCAAACCAGCAATTACCTTGCTGCAAAGCAGAAAAGTTACATGCTTACCAGGTTTTTTTCCAAACTTGTCAAATAGGATGCAGATAAAGACAACACCTCTGGAGTTGTACAGATCTCAAGTGAGCTCATTCTCACAACCAGAAAACCAACTCCTGTGGTTTGGAGAGAAAAAAAAAATCAGTTTTCTCAGCACTGTGTGAGATTTACCATGTTCAAAGCCAATTCTCCCTGACAACAATTCCTTATTGCTAACAGAGGAGACTTGGAGCACTTGTGTTAATATGATCCATTCCTTCAAAAAAAAAAAGAGAAACGAAAGGAGTAAACCCAGGCTGACCAGGCAAGATATCAAGAAATAAAAATGTTATTATAAGACGAGAAGAAAAAGGAAGAAGGGGGAATTGGAAATTGTTATTAACTCTTAAACGTAGTATTAGCTCACCTTTACGTGAAGAACTGGTACAGTCAGATCCGGCCTACAGTCTACCAGTCTGCCATTACTAGTTTTCCACCTAGAGACTAATTTTGCAACCACATACCAATTTAGAGAGAGCAGTATGAGAGAAACACTAGCTTTGCAGATCATTATGAAGATGCAAACAGCAAGCAGGTATGATGAGGTGCTAACATGTTGGGGATAAGGACATAAGAGACAAAGAACCATCAGCACAGCTGCCTAAGACTTTGGTGAAACCTCACTTTAAATACTGTGTACACCTCTAGTGAACCCTAGCTAAAGAAAGATGAATTTAAACCAGAAAACACACAGTTCAGACCTGTTGGCAGGCAGTACCATCTCTTTTTTGCAGTGTGGTGGACAGTGTTTACTTCTCTGCAGATTTTGTGCATACCAACTGAAGAAAAAGAAAGGGAGCATAAGGATGTTTTTTCAATGAGAGCAGCAAAACACTGTCAGAGATTGTGGAGAGAGGTAGTGACTGAACCATCCCTGGAAACAGTCAAGGTCAGTCTCTGAGCAACCTGATCTACTTGAAGATGTCCCAGTTATGGCAAGAGTGTTGGAGGACATGGCCTTTAAAGGTCATTTACCACCCCCACCATCATTTACCACCCATTCTGTGATTCTATGATTTGCTTTTTCTTTATAAATAGCTCCGAAGATAGATCTCAAAGAAAGGGGAAAGAAGGTTAACATTTAGAGAGAAGCTCTTTAAGTTAAAAGCACTACATCAGGGTAAACTGCTAGTGAAGGAATTCTCAAAAGATTTGTAAACACTCCCTGAGTGAAGGTATCAAACCACCCTTCCTTCCCTTTCCTGGGACAGCAGGAAACCACATCGCGCTTAGACAGGGCTGACTCAAACAGGGAAAGATGAGAGAAGTCCTACGGCATAAAATACATTCAAGTGTACTCAAGCAGGCAGCCTCCACCTCACTGCCGGGGAGCGCGGTGAGATGACGGGCAGCATAGCTGCGAGAGCTCTTCCTCTGAGATCCTGGAGACCCACCACGGAGCAGAGAGGCAATGTGGAGCGTGTCAGTGCCCCAGTCACAGTATTAGTCTCAGTCCCGGGGCCAGTACGGCTTTGGCAGCCCAGAATTGAATCACAACCACGATAAGGACGGGGCTTTCCCCAGACCTTTTCAGACACCTACACAAACGCCCATCTCTGCTTTGCCCTGTTTTCCCTAAGGATAAGGGTGTTCTGTCATAAAAGCCATGTTAGACAGTGTCCAAGACTTGCGGGTGCGGGATCTCGGGTATCCCATGCCGGAAAACGACTCTGAAGCGGCAGCGTAGGAGAAGGCACCGGACGCAACCACCGCCGGCTTCCCCGATAAGGCGGCCCCTCGGTTCCAGCCGGAGTGGGACTGGAGCCTCACCTCCCATTCGCGTGCCCTGGGGCACGGAAAACTGCTCCGCTCCTCCGACGCGGTGTGGGAGGACCCCGCGGCATCCCCGGGCAAGGGGCTGCGTCGGGGCAGTCCCGGGACGCTCCCCGGGGTTCCAAGCGGGCGGCCTCCCCAAAACCCTTCCTCCCCTGGGCGGCCCAGGGGGGGCGAGTCCCGGCGGCCCGGGGAGGAGCCCAGCGGGGCTGCCACTCGGGTCCCTCCCGGCGGGAGTGCAGCGCAGCCCAGCGATCGCCCGTGGCCTCGCCGCCAACTTTGCCGGGCTCCAGAGCGCTCCGAGGGCTGCGGGGGACGCGGGCAGGGGTCCGGGGCAGGGAGCTGGGCCGAGGGGTGCAGGAGGGGAGCCGCTGCGGGGCGTGGAGAGGGGTCGGGAACGCGGGACGGCGGCGGCGGAGCCGGACAGGGGCGAGCCCGGTGGGCTCGGAGCGTGGATCGGGGCCGTGGAGGTGCTTGTCGGGAGAAGCGGAGGGGCGGCCGGGAAGGGCAAGGCAAGACAGGGAAGGGGCAGCGCATCATCCCGCTGCCGGCGGGACAGCCGGGCGGAGCGAGCGCCCGGGCGGGGCGAGCGCAGAGGGTCGCAGGTGTGGGTGCCGCCGCGGATCTGAGGGGGGCGGTCCGGGGGCTGAACCTTCCCCGCAGGCCCGGGGCGGAGGCGGGGGCGCGGCGGCGGCCCCATGGGCGGTGGCGGGGGCGGCTCTGCGCGGGGCTTGCCCGCCGCCGCTGATGCCGCTGCCGCCTGCCCGCGGGGCGGCTGATGCGGGTGGCGGGGCCAGAGGAGGTGGCAGTGGCGGCGGCGGTGGCGGGGGGCTCCCGGCCATGTGTCGGCCGGGGGTGCGCGGGGTCCTGGGTCGGGTGTGCCTGCTGCTGCTGCCGCCCTGCGCGTTGGTGCTGGCCGCGATGCCCGGCTCCGCGTCCCACCCGCAGCCCTGCCAGATCCTGCGGCGCATCGGGCACACGGTGCGGGTGGGGGCCACCCACCTGCAGCCCCGCGCCGCCCCCTCCGCCGCCGCTGCCTGGCCCGGGGAGGTGCCGGGCGGGCGCCTCGAGGGACCACGGGGCCGGCGGGCTGGGGGCGGCCCGGGGGGGGAGCGGCGGCCGCCCCCCTCGCCGCGGGAAGCGCTGCTGCTCGCCGTGTCCAACCTAAACGGCATGCCGGGGCTGCTGCCCTACAACCTGTCCCTGGAGGTGGTGATGGCGATCGAGGCGGGGCTGGGCGACCTGCCCCTCTTCCCCTTCTCTTCGCCCAGCGCCTCGTGGAGCAACGACCCTGTCTCCTTCCTGCAGAGCCTCTGCCACACCGTGGTGGTGCAAGGGGTCTCGGCCATCCTTGCCTTCCCGCAGAGCCGCGAGGAGTTGCTGGAGCTGGACTTCATTTCGGCGGCGCTGCGCATCCCCGTGGTCAGCATCGTGCTGGGCGAATTCCCCCGGCGGAGCCTGGTAAGGATCGGGGGGGACGCCAGGGGCAGTGCCGTGCCCCCCCGGTACCCTGCGGTGGAGGATTGGGGTCTGACTGGGGGAGCCGGGCAGGGGTCGCGGTGGGAGGACTTAGACCGAGCTGTGGCCGGGGAGAAGTGCTCGGACCCCCGGCATCGCTCTTGGGTCCGTCCGTCCTCTGGCTCCCCCTCCCGCGTTATCCCTGGCTCTCAGGCCAGGGGTGGCGCGGGAGAGGAATCCTCTGTGTGGAGAGACAGACAGAGCTCGGTGGCACAAGCGAAGTTGTGAGCCCGAAGTCATACGCCACGTTAAGTTGTAAAGCACAGAGCAGAGAGAGGGTCCAGGGCACGCTTTGCAGAGCATAGGTTGTTAGGAAAAAAAAAAAAAAGGCTTAAACCACCTTTCGGGGTGTTTGTTACTGGTCTAAATGCAGTGGTCTGTCTGCGTATGGGCATTGTAGGTGGTTCGTCAGATGACGCTTCTCAGGGAAGTTGTGCGCTGTAACTTGACTTTGCACTGAGCTGCCTAAACCGTCGGGGTTTTCTGTACTCATAGTTCATTCGTCGCTACTAGATCAGATTTTTGCTGGTTGCCCAGCTAAAGTAGTAGAAACTACAGCCTGGTCTGACTGTTTGTTTGGTTGTGTAACTAAAATAGTAGAAACTGAACTCATTGTGTTTGACAGTGTTAGGTACAAGTAGTAGTAGTATCCAAGAGGAGCTAAACTTTCTATCAAACAGAAATGGCAACTTAGTGTTACATACTCTAGAAAAAAAGGTGATAGTTCGGTATTTTGTAACTGTGTCTCTGCTGCCAGGAGTCATTTAAGGTAAAGTAGTTGAAAGAAGATGCTCTATTCTGTGTGGCCTGTGCAAGGGAAGTCCTAAATAAAGTGGTTGAAGCTGCCTTTTCAATAGCCAAGAGAAGCAGTTGTTTTATATAAAAAGGGGTAGCTTAATACTGGTCTCAAAATCTAATCAGAAAAAAATATTACCAGCTGAATTTTCTTTGGAAAAGCAAATGCAAATCTCAGCCTGGATCTCTGTTAGATTTCCGTGGGACTTTTTTTGCATGTTAGATTTTGACAGGAAAGAGAGCTCCTAGTCTGTAACTGAAGATGTGACTGCTGTGTGCTGGCCTGAATCACAGAATGGTTTTTGTTGGAAGCGACCTCAATGATCATCTTGTTCCAGCCCCTGTCATGGACAGGGACACTTTCCACAAGACCGGGTTGTTCAGAGCTCCATCCTACCTGGACTTGAACACTTCCAGGGTTAGGGCATCCAAAGCTTCTTTGGGTAACCTGTATCAGTGTGGCACCAACCCTCATCTAACCTTGCCCTCTGTCAATTTGAAGTCATTGCCCCTTGTCCTGTCACCACATCCCCTTGTAAAATCCCCCTCTCCAGCTCTCTTGTAGCCCCTTTAGCTACTTAGCTAGTTTTCTCCACCTTAGCAAAACCAGTGTAACGCAGGTCTCTCAGAAACTCAGGGTGAGCAATGCTACCAAATGAACTTTCGGTGCCAATTGTATCCAAATTTGCTCAGTTACATCTACCAGCTTTGCAACTGCACTCAAAGTGGTACTGGATACAGTAGCCAAAGCTTCCTGAAGATCAGATCCTGAATCCAGCATTTCCTTGCTCTGTCTCTTAGAATTATTTTCTCTTCCGTCTTAGATACGGATCTAAGTTCATCCAAAGCATCTTCATCCAAAATGTGTTAAGCACATGCAGCACAGGTTAGATTCATTGCTGCTTTCCACAGCCTTCAAAACTCCTACTAAATTTTCAAATTGTTCTCAGCAGGGAGCCAAGTGGATCAGTATATCCAAGTCTAGGCTTTGTTCTTAAGCATTTCTTACGAGGCATTTTCTTCAGTGACAGTGAAACCAATGCCTGACATTGAACCTATGCTGAACAGAGTCCATTTTTTTTTTCCAGCTGAGCTAAAAAAATTACTTTTCAAAGCTCTGTGGATTTAAAAAAAATATTCAGTTTTACTCAAAGGCCAGCAGGTAATACAAGTCTGTTAGTCTCTCAAGATTGGCCTGGGAAAGCTGACATCTTTCTGAACACTCTTTTTCTTATTTTCTCTTAATAAATACCATTTCTCTTAATAAATACCTAACTCTGGAGGCAGTGCTCTAACAGCCTTACCTCACATACTTCCTAGAATTACAGGCTTTCCAACAGCGTACTGGACACAGGAGAGCCTGGAGATGTTGGCCTCAGCAGCCTCTGCTGTAGGCAGGGATTCTGTGTTACTCACAGTCCCATGCTGGCATGAAATTAACATGCCATGGACCTCTCATCTTCCCAACTCTACAGCCCTGGTGCTGCAGATTGGCCGCTTCTACTGCATGGTGATTTTAGAGGAGGCAAATGTAAAAGACATCGTTGTAGATGAGACAGCTTTGGCTGATAGGCCCAGACAGGAAGAGAAGACTGATACCCAACCCTGCTTCTGAATTGGCACCCCTGGGGTCACCATGCCCACTGACTCTTGGGCAGAGCGTTCTCCCTCCCACAAAACCACTGCAGCACACCCCAGGGGGCTGCCTGCAGTTAGTTTTCTTCCAGGCAGGGACAGAAGCAGACCCAAAACCTTTTTGCCCTTGAAGAGCATTTCTCATTGTCTGCATTGCAAACATGCTAACAAACCCAGTGTTCTCATACTTCTTCTCCTCAGCAGTCAAATGTTTCTGGGAGATGGTTTTAGTATAATAATATCTAGCAAGGTCCCATTTCCCACATTATGCCAGGACAGGAATGTACATATGCAATGTTTTGTACTTCTGCTGAATGTTAACATTATTCCTTCATGCAGAAGGCTATAATAGGCAGCTGTTTGTCTTACTTGAAAAGCACGTTGATCTTTGAGCAAATCTTCCTTAGCATGGCAAAAAGCAATACTTAAAATGAAAAGGAAGATAAGGATCCAGAACTAAAACACATTTCAATAATACTGCCCATTGTCTCTGTGATATTTGATGACAGTAATACTGCAAACATGTTACAACAAGAGGAAATACAGTGTCACAGATGGGCAACTACAGTCACCTAAGATACCTAGAGACTGTGTTTTCAAAAGTTTTATGGTTGTTTGAGCATCTTTAAAAAATCATTTATCATTAAAAAAAATAATCAAAAGACAACAACCATCACAAGGTGTGATACTGAACTTGTTCCTCACAAGTAACAGCTTATTCTGGAGGTTCAGGATTGTGTATGGCAGAACACACATATGGCTTCAAGGGAGAATACAAAGAGTAAAATGGGACACCCTTTTTTTATTTTTATTTGTGATTTAATTACGAACATAGACTAACAGAAAATCCAGACACAGTTGTGACCTGGAAAAAAAGCTGTTTACTTTTCCCAGTTTACTGTCACTCTGGTAAATTTTCACATTCAGTAAGCAAAAGTAACAATTTAGCACTGTCATTCAGCAAACAAAAAAACCACTGGATTTCTTTACTCCTACATGATTGCAAACTGCGTGAAGCTTTGACAGCTCATTATTTTGGAGACAGCAGCTCACAAGCAGTGATGCCATTCAGGCAAGTTTGTGACCCCTTATGTATCTTTATATGAAGGGAGGCATTTTATTTTTTCATTCCAAGATTGCCAATGTCATTAATAATATTCCCAAGAATGGAACAGGGGAAAAGATCCAGGGAATGTGAACCATAAATAAATACAGTGATATTGCTACATCAGAGCCAAGAGACAGCCCATAATATCTATTTTGTGGGTGATAGCATCACAAACACAGGGGACATCATGTTTGCAGCAGTGTTCTCTGAACTTAAGGGAATATTTTCAGTGGGTTTCACATAAATCAGCACCTCTGATGTCCTCCAACATGAAAAGGAATCTTTTCACAGCAGTGAAACAGAATAAAGTAGTTGCAAATCATCAGTCCCTGCCTAGTCAGTCTGTGCTTTATCTGGCTTCCCAAGGAACTGAACTGCAGCACTGCTGATTACTGCTATTACTTCAGAGGGGGTCAAAAGAATAAATAAATCAGGTTAGAGTTCTAGGTTAAACTATGACTTTCCTGGGGAAGTAGCAAGCTCAGCCTCAGAACAGATGCTGTAAAAAGAAATTGACCATAAACTTTTAAATTTTGTTTGTTCGTTTTTGAAGTAATTGTTTGTTTTGTTTTGTTTTTAACAGCTTTCTAGTTTATGTATATCAAACAACCCATGGTGGGGAATTACAGATCATTCCCTTTTGGAAATAGACAAGAATACCACTGTGAGTACAGTGCCTTCAGAAGTCACACTAATCTGCAAGACACTGGCTATGTAGTGTACAAGTGAGGGCAGGCAGAAATTACACCAAGGGGATGGAGATGTGGAAAAAAGGCTTCTGTCTAACTAAATGCCCAAAGACATTTCTTTTTTTCCTCCTTCAAGCCAGAATTGCAGTTAGATGGGAAAAAAAGTTTTAATAATTTCATTTTCCAGCAAAAAAATGCAACACATGCTTGGCTGCAGGCTTCAGTAATCCAAATGATCATTGCTGATCTGTTTTAATCCAGATGTTGGAAGCTTATACTAGTTACTGTGTAAATTAGAAATATGTGTTCTGTCTTTCCCTATGATTACCAACCCTCCCCACCTAGCACTGAGTAAACAGTGAGGCACATACCTTTCGTACACTTCAAGAGGGTTTATGAGTGGTGCCTTGAGAGGAAACAAGGATAGAAATTGAGAGGACGTGCAAACAAATATCCAGTTGCTTCTATTTCAGCCAGAGGTCTCAGTGCAATTTTGCTCATGGTGAGCTTTTGAAACTTGGATAATTTAGGCCACTGATCTGCTATAAGGTCAGAGCCCTTTTACATTTCCAGCTCATGTAAAAAAAGCTTGGTGCAACTAACAGTTTTGCTCCATAGCTA